TATTAGAAAGTGAAACAAAAACATTATGCAGTTGAAACAGGATTAAAGGAAAGCAGCCTAAAAGGACTTCGATAACTAAAACAAAAGGAGGAACCCTAAGGAAAACACTTTCACTGAACTATAATGAAAACAAAATGTGCACACAAATTGTTGCATAATAAAGACACACAGAGGGGGGGAGAGAGAGAGAGAGAGAATGAATAAATAACAGCGAAATGAGAATAACAGTGATATTCTTTCAGTGCAGATGGGTCTTCTCATTCCAAACGCGCTAAGAGGAGGAGTTCACCTCAAAATGAGCCAAAGACCGATGCAAAACAGAAGTGACAAAACCAGTAGCCCTAGTAGCAGTGCCATGGCTCATCTGCTATCATCTGGCCAGTCATCAGGACGCTCTGTTCTAGTAGCACACAAACGTGCACAGTCACTTCCCTGCCATCATGGCAAAGCCTGGAATTTGTTCCAGTGGTAGCTGAGTGACCCCTGTAGACATAGGTCAACTCCCTTAAGGACAAGTTTCTGTGCTCTCAAAGACTTACATTGTTTGACATTTTAATCCTAAACCAGAATTTCCTCTGGTTGCAGTATTTTGTTTCTTTGCTTACTACAAACAATGGGCCTGAAGATAAATATTAATTAACCTTAAAGGTTTACTTGCAGCCTTCACTTTATCTTGCCACTCTATACCTGCACACAGACGGCTTTGAGCAACTGAGCTTGATTTCTGTGATTGGCACTGGATCATACACCACAAATTCATTTCCGTATCTTACATCGTACCACATATTAACACTCTGTTAAAAAGTTCTTTCCCTGCCTCAGTCTCCGGAGATGGAACTACTGGGAAGAATATATAGAGAGAGTGTTCTAAAATAACAAGCCTTTAAAAAAAAAAGTGTCAAATATTGTGAACTTGTGCTATTTTCAAGCATTTTTAATCTTGCCTTTGGGGAATGGAACTAAACAAAACAGTCTTTAGCCATGAGGGTGTGAGCTAAATGCCATTTTCACTTACTGAAGTAAGTTACTATAAAATTAACCTACCGTCTTTTGCTATGGAGACCTTAAAATAGGAGAAGATATCTTTATAAAAATACATGCTTTAGCACAACTTCTGAGAAACACCACAGAGACCGTGAATACAAGAAGTCCAATTATTGACACCTGTGTTCCTTTCTGTCACCAGACACCGAAAACTCCATAATTATACGTAAATGGGAGTTACATGTAAAAGCAATTCATCTCCTTCATAGAGTAGATGGTTGAAATACAAATACAACTGTCCAAAATAATGCAAGACCAGAATAGGTGTTGAGCCATATGAACCAGATCATCCTCTCCTGGTGCCTGAATGGAAACTAACAGGATGGGACCTTACTTGTCGGGGAGGAAGGGGAGCAAGAGAGTGAGTGTGAAAAGAACTGGGAGAAAAACCGTGTGTAAGACTGCACAGAAAATCAGAACAGACAGAAAAGGCTTTATAAAGAAACTCAAAAAAAAAAACCAGTTGAGAAATTTGTCGGGCACAATGCTGTCTAGAAAGACCTGAATTGAAAGCAAAGAAACTGTCTCTTGTTGCTTTTTTTTCTACAATGTTCTGTGAAGAAGGGACTGTCTGGTCTGTCTTTATAAACAAAAATAAATCTGACATCCATATATCTCAACTTCTCTTTCTGACAAAAATAATCTGAAAAGCCTTCCCAAAAATGAATTAATAGCTCCATATCTGAGAAGTTGCAACACCAGTGTTAAAAGCAGGATTGAAAGAGAGAAATCATTAGCTTCTGTTCCTCTTTAGCCAAGCTGAAAATAACTACTTGAAAAACAGCTGAGAGTTTTGCAAGAACTAATGTGGCACCCAAGTGTTTCTGAGAAGTGCTACAGAATGGCTTGCAGGTAAAAAGGAAATCTTTGTTAGGGCAGTAATTAATTACAAAGCATTTAGGCAGACTGAGAAGCTCTAGTGCAACACCTTCTGTCCAGTATGGCAAAAAAATTCAATGATACCATGAAGTAATAAAGTCAACCTTGAAAAACACTAACAGAGAGAAGCTGCAAAAAGGACAGACAAAGATGAACAGTAATTTCAAAAAGAATATCAAAATGAAAGTTCATCACCTGCATCAGGCTTGCTGGAAAGCGTTAACAATTGTTTCCTATCCAGTTTTACCTGCAGTAGTCTAAAAGGGAGAATAGGGATTTTCCTGAACTTACATCATGCAAAAATCCACTGATTTTGTAGGGAAAGCTCCCTGGGAGGCACACTTGGCTCAGCTCAACCTCATCATCTAAAATAATGGTCAGGGAATCAAATAGGAAGAAGTAATTCTAGTGAACAACATTAGCCTCCCTGTGATGTTGTTACTGAAATTCCCCAAAGTCAAGAGAGAGAGTTATTTAGATCTGAATAAGCCTTTAACATATGGTATGAAGCCAGGGACCCAGCTAAGGCCTGGGAAAGGTGGTTAAGGAACAATTCCATCAGCAGTGGCAGTGGAAGACTTGAATTGTGGGTCAATTATCAGCAAAGGTATCTGGAATAAATTAGCAATTGAACAACATAGAAATATCTGAAAGATGTTGAGACAAGGCCAAAGACACTGAGAGGTTGTAAAATTGGTCACAGGTCTCCAACTGTCTTTCATGTTGGCGCGCCATCAGATTGAACAATTGCCAGTGAGAAACACTGCTAGATCTAAAAGCACAAACTCTTCTTCACATGAGAAACAGCCATGAAATCTCAGCAAAATGGATTTGGTTCTCATTTACTGTGGTATGCCGTAAGAGATACTGTTTAAAGGTCAAGGGCAAACTCACTTTGTGGCTATGTGCTAAACGACATTTTGTATGGGATGCTGCCATGAAAAAGGTTGGTATTTTTGACCAAAGATGCTATCTTCTGCTGTTTTTTTCTAAATGTGTTCACAGAAATAGTATTTTCTTGTAAATGATTAGGATTATGTCAAATTACTTAGCTCTGGCATTTATTTCTCCCCTGCAATGGGAACTATCTGCAAGTGCTCAAACCCTGGCTAGCCAGCTGGGCTAAAAGCAGAAAACAGTATCTTTCTAAAATATGTTGATCTTGGCAAGGATCTATTCAAAACATCACCACAACAATAGATTTAAATAGAGACACAAAAAGCAAGCTTGCTAGTGCCAAAACAACCAGGAAAATAAAGCCCATTTCCTATTCTCAATATGGCAAGTAATACAAAATATCTGTTAACAATCAAATCAAGCTGACAAAGCAATGTTAAAATGGCTTGGAATGCAGCCAAAAAATATCAGAACAGATACAGAGAGACAATATGCACTGGACTGTGAAGCCCACTTTGCATCACCACGGGAAGAGACATAAAAACCAGCATGATGTGCATTATTGCTATCATCTATTAAAAGAGTTGGGAATATAGTTAAAATACCAAATAAAGATGGACAGACATGATATAAGGGATTACAGTTCTGTCAAAGACGTGTGTTTCTTTCTTTGTTCAGTTAGTTCTTCAGTCTGAACACTTTCTTCCTCACCCGTTCTTAATCAGAGCTGCTTGTATGTATTTGGATGGCACCTAACACAATGTAGACTCCCTAAACACTAGCCACTCTAATAACATAGTACTCTGGTGAGTGGGAGAACATAAACAGGCGCAGTCTACAATTAAGATGCCTTAAGATCTTAAAAGCATGGGTATTTCAAGGATGCCAGGCAACTGAATGGTAGCAATATCTTTAAACCTTCTTAA